ATAACACTGTACAGGTCTTTCGCTAATGCGGCGGCATTCGATACCCGATAAATTCAATCGCACAACACTCGGACGTTTGGGGTTCTACCGGTTCCTGACACTTCGTAAAGAACAAAGTCGCTTAAATTATATTTTTATCGAAAACTACAGTTATTTTAAAAAGCTTTCCATTGACATATAGTTTGGTAACGTTCTCTTGAAACTGGCGCGTGTACGAATTTTTTTCCGAAGGACACCCGCGAAGTTCGTTAAACAGACAAGGACAATAAATGTTATTCACCGATTGAGAAGAAATTACCGCAATCAACTTACAGCGTGTTCGTCAAACTGAGTGAAAATACGAGAGTGTTTCTTACAAATACTGAACGAGAGAACTAAACACTAAAATTGTCAAGAAACTACGAAACAAAAGTCTTCTCAGATACTGCCGTCCATTTTGTGGCGCTTTGTTGTGTCGTCCTGAGAAGTGTTTGCTCAGTGCAGAAGTCGCATAATAACTTGGTGAAAAATTTGCCGAGGAGCTTATCAAAAACATTGACAGGTAAGATTTACGTTTTCCACGTTAAATGTTCCATTCGTCTGCTCTTAACAGACCTTTTCAAACCTTTTCCATTCAGAATTCGTCTTCTTCACAGTCAGTTTGCGGACTTTTCGGCAGAGATAAAACTGTCAAGTTCCTGAATCGAGTCCGGCCGGCTCGCACATCTCAGACGTTTTCGGCTTCTAAAAGTTCCCGACTGATAAATCGCGTTTGAAGTTTGGAAGATCCTCTTCGCTTCGCTCTAAAGCTCTTTCATCCGGATTGCAGGTTTCAAAATCGTCTTCTTGAGACATTGTTATGCAGAATTTGAAATTAATCGAAAGTAACTTGCAAAGATCGATGGCGTCATGATCAGTAGCACTCTCAAATTTCGCGGGCCGTACCGTAGAATACGGCCCGTAAAATTGACCAATCACAGCGCGCGTACTATATAAGAGATATAATAAAAGAACTTATACGTCGGGAACTAACAATAACCAAATGACACGCGTAAAATACCAAAAAACTAGGATAATGAAGAAATAAGAAGAAGAACCAACGTATCGTATCGAAGGCTTGATTTATTGCGCATCTTATCGAAGGCTTGATTCATTGCTATCGTATCGAAGGCTTGATTTACATTATTGTGTATGGTATCGAAGGGCCAGCCATTAATTCGGAAACTGTGTTTTGTTATTGATTTGATCGATTGTCTGTAGTTTGTTTATCGATTTGATCGAGAGTTTAAGTCGAAATCATAGGGAATATTATGAATAATCATATTCTGAAGTTTGAAACGATTTGGACAAAACGTCGCCGAGATATTCTACTTTGAAAACCGCCTTATTTTTCGCTTCCACAAACGGAAGCGTTCGGGCAAACTTCGGAAAATTGTCGGAAATGGGAAGCTCACCACATATGACGTCACATACACGCGCGAGTCCGCGAGAAGAGCGATAATTACAAAATTCTGCAGTTTCAAAACATCAACAAGTATGGTGTTTTGTGCTGCTTTTAACTGTAGCAACTGTTCAAAAACGTCACTTAAAAAGTGAATTCACATTCCTATAAACTATTTCGCGATTATTCCAACACGTCCCGGAGCTGAATTCGCAGGGACAGAGTTCAAGTCCAGATAGAGAAAGGAAAATTCACCGTCGTGTGTTCACGTTCTCCATAATACAGTGAATGTGGTCATTTGACGTTGTTGTTTTGCAGAGGACGGCAAAGAAATGTACTAAAATACAAAACGCACGTGCGGAGAAATTATACTACTAATTAAATCTATTGTTTTGTGACGTTCTAGTTTCCGTCGCCGTCGTGGTTGTTTAAGGTCCCTAATCAGGCGTAAGCTTTTTTACATTCCCTAACGACGAGAAGAGATGCAAGGAATGGATTAGATTAATTACTGATTTTGTTGTATTTGAGCATTTTCAAAGGAGATGTCAAGGTCTTCATCCATTTTCGTCAATACACTATGGAATAATCTCCGAACAAACCCAGAACACTTGACCCAAGCAAATTACAAGCTTCAAACACGCGCGAAAACACGAGCGAAAACACGCGTGAAAATAAGCTCACCACATATGACGTCACAAAAACAGTAAATTCGTTTCCATTCCAAGCGCGGTCATTCCTGGTTCGTTTTCTTTAAGCCGTCGGAAATTCTAGGAAATTCTCGAATTTCGTGCCTTATAGCGCCACAAATCGCCCCAAACCAGCTTTTGAGGGTTGAGTATGATTGATGCTAGTATAAAGAACAGTTTTCGCGACAAAAGAAAAAATGCCAAATTTCGTTGCATTTGACCTTTAATGGCTTTTGAAATGCTAAAGACGTCAGTTGACTTGAAGTTTATTTGTCGCGCTTGTTTACATGTAATTTTCACGCAATTGCAGACACGCCGGATATTAATTCGGAAACCGTCTGATGGTTTGTGTGGTTTGTTGATCGATTTGATCAATGTCCATGGTTTGATTAGCCACGAAGCCGCCGCCGGAGAATAATTCGGAAAGTATGGTTTGTTTAACAATAGAGCATTGTTAACATTTCTATTGTTAACATTTCTTTTATTAACATTTCTATTGTTAAAGTGCACCTAACCCCAAAAATTTTTATTCGTTTAAATGAATTTACTTATATAATTTGAAACTTAAATGCGAAGAAATTTTTCGATTTGGTTGAATCCTCGATTTTCTGTGCCCCAACAAAGTCTCCAAAATTGCACCAAAAACGACGCCATTTTGTTGCACGGCCGCGTTTGAGGGGAATGAGTTCTAGCGGCTGTGTGACGTCTACTCGGGAACGTTCGATCCTTCGCGTCCACTCATTTACTTAAAAAAGATGCGATACACATTCGAGAAGTGTGTAGAAACGCCTTCCAGGTGCGTTATTGAACGTTGCAGCAGCACGCCAGATTTAGATAAAGGTATACTATACCATTTTAAAGCGATGGTCGAGAACATACGAAAAAGACGGTGGATTTTGTAAACTCAAATGAGCGAAGTGGGACTGTGCGGAGAGTCATAAATTTGAGAACTCTGGAGTTTGTCCGCGCACTTCCAGTAGACTTCCTAAGGCTATTTTCAAATCTACCCGGTCGAAGTCAACTAGCAATTCGACCAAATGTTACCGAAATGTTATCTCTACCAATGACATAGCCGGCAAAATTCAATAGCACGAGCGTGGAATCCGAGCGTTCATCCGTAGTATCGCGCAACTGTATGGCGTCAACATTTCTTCCTCGTGCGAAGCAATTCAGGAAATTTTGAGGTAAGTCAAAGACAAATTTCTTTCGAATGACTAAATGAGAAAAATGACAAAATATTTTGACTCTAAAAGTTATTTTCTGAGGCCGGGAAATAAGCAGTGCGACAGCCGTGTGTGTACAGATCGTAACATCAATGGGTATCAATGCGGACCACCGAGGGAACATACCCACTTCGCTTATCGAGGAAGAAAAAGTCATTTATTTCATGGTTTTTACTTGAAAATTAACTTGATTCACTATGGTGGTTATTTGGAATAGTAACGACAAACGTTTCTGGATGTCAAAACTGTAGTGATGTGGCTTGTTTCCTTTCAGTTTGTTTTCTGCGGCTGAAATTTTCAGGCCCGCGCGCGAGCAAGCCGATTTTCAATCGATCGACTGTCTCTTGGCTGCGCCTCAAGCAACTCTTAATACACTTCTCTATAAACTCTCGATAGACAACCTTTAAGCATGGACCAATACTTAAATAGAACTGAGCCAAAACAAGCTTTATTGGATGGCATATTGGTAAACTGGGTAAATTGGTAAATTACATGTAGATTTATTTAAGCGAAGAAAATTTTTTGGGGCTAGGTGCACTTTAACATTTTTTTGTTAACATTTTTACGGTACATAATGTTTACTGCGCAAGCGCAGTAGACACAAAAACCTAAAGACAAGTTTAATCAAGACCTACCAACTGGGGTGCTTAATTTTTCAATAATTATCTTGAAAGCACTTCACGGCACACGGAGACAAAGAAAATTTGGGCGCAGAAATTTCAGAATAACAATCATATCATCTGAGTTATTAAATCTCAGGGGAAATATTTGTTTTTCACTTCAAAACAAAGCAATAGACCAATTTCGATATATTAATATTCTAACTTGGCTCCGAGGCTTAGGGGAATAAGACAAAAGAAATAATTTATTCATCCCTCAACCTCGATGTGATTTCTTGTCGATTTCTTTTGTCTTATTCCCCTAAGCCTCGGAGCCAAGTTAGAATATTAATATATCGAAATTGGTCTATTACGGCGTCGTAAAGCACTCTGTTGTTTGCTTGATATTTCGCGGGTGACTGAGAAAGGACGATAAAAGAATGCCGCGAAAATCATTTGTGACACGAAGCAATTACAATGCTATTAATTCTACCTTTGGTAGTAACGCGGATTAAAGTTACGCTATTCAAAAAACTTCTGACCCTTTGGAAATATAAACACAGGTATAAATGGACCACAGTATAGCTACAAGTGACACCTTTATTTCACTTTTATGCAGTGACACTTTTACTAAATCTTTTATTTGCCTTTCGCGTTTGCTTGCGCGATCACGCGTGACGTGACGTGTTCGTGTTATGGACTTTGTGCGTCACACAAAATGTGGGTTAGAACTAGCCTTAGAACACGTTAATAAATCAACACACCCAGGCATGTAGCGAGTCTGCATCAAAGAGTTCAGTTGTTGCCTGTGTGCAGACACCCGTACCCAGTTTACTTTGTCTGCACTGCTTTGCACCTATACACTTTGTGAATTATCAACATGAAGTTGATAAGTTAAACGGAACCGCCTCGATCCAATTTCGATTAAAAATGTGATGTTCTAGTGATGTTCTAGTGAAAACAAACAAACAAATGACAACAACATGTGGAAAGAAATGATCAGTGGTAAATGTTAAGCTTGGTAGTACTATGACAATTGAAAGGTATTATTCAGCCAGTGATACAAACTACTCAGAAATCATTCGGAGTCGAACCTATGACCTTCCGCACACCGGTCGGACGTTCTACCACTGAGCTACACTGCCTCGTCCCCAGGCGTCGCTCCTACGTTGTGCGCGGTGCGCGTGGATTTGTGGGACTGATGCAGGCGAGAAGACTCCGCGTTTCGCCTCCTAACCATCAAGCCCCGCGCTCCCTGTTTTCCCGCCCTTTATCGACGAAATGTAACGGCGCCTGGGAACGAGGCAGTGAGCTACAGGAGACTCATGGAAACTAGTTGCGCGGAAAGTCATGGATTCGACTCTTTTTGGGCCGGAACCAAGAGACTATGATCTAATAGCCTGCGTAGCAAGCGTTCCTGTACGAACGAAGAGCTTTTTTCGCGATCGAAGAGCTTTTTCTGCATTTTGGCCGCGCGAAAATTGGGGCGAGAGCAAAAAAGTCGCTCGGGTGGGTGGGGGAGGGGGTGGGGGTTGGCGCTGTTCCCTCAGCGCCAACCCCTTCCCTACCCCCTCCCCGCTCCGTCATTTTTGCTCTCGCCCCAATTTTCGCGCGGCCAAAATGCAGAAAAAGTTCTTCGATCGCGGAAAAAGCTTTTCGTTCGTACAGGAACGCTTGCTACGCAGGCTATGATCTAAGAGAACACAGAGACCCGCCAATCAATACCATATAAGGAAAGTAAGCAATAAAATAACTGTGTTGCGGTATGAAGAAGGCTCCTATACCAAAAACAACGAAAATTAGGAGTTTAAAATCCAACACTGGTTTTGTAGGCGCTCGCGGAATGCCGGGACGTTTGGAAGAAGCGAACAGGCTAGTAAGAAGTGGTACGCTGCGATGGCCAGAAACAGACGATGAACAATTTCACAGCTTAATACTTCTCGACAAGTTCAAAATACTCTGGCACTTGAACATGGCCTTGATAAATGTCGTTTCCAACAGCTTTTCTTTGAGGCCAGGCGCTAAAACAATGAATGTTCCTACCGTCCAAAGTAGTAAAACGCTCTCGTAAACAGCGCGGGTTCTTGTGTTCATTCTAAAACGCTCCCGCGAGGCTTGAGTTAGTAGAGAGTAAATAGAATAGGCGCAACATATGTTGGGAGTATCTGTCTGTGATCTTCAAACGCTGATCTCATTTCTTTATGGTGTAACTGTTTGTGACAACTCTGCCATGTTGTACTGATGAAAACATTGACTTTCCACCGTTAAATGATTCTATTTTCATTTAGTAGTGGTATTGATCTAGACCCAGTTCATTCCGCGCCAAAATCCGTGTTCATTGATGTGGCAAGTTAACCTGCTGTTCACTTCATTGTTTTTTGTGAAAGGAAAACGATGTTACATGTGATGATGGTCCCTACATTTCTATCACCTCGCTTATACCATTCACTTTTGGCGAAAACCTAAGCAATTTCCTTCCCAAGTCAAAATAAACATGATGAATTATGCAATTACCTCGCATCACTTCATTTGACATTTTCAATTATAGGGTTAACTGAAACTTGGCTAACAGATGGCTGCGATGATATATATGACATTTCAACGCACAGTCTAATAACTAAAAACAGGAAAAATAAGACAGGTGGTGGTGTAGGAATATATGTAGCAAAAGATATCAATTTTATAAGGCGTGAGGAATTGTCAATATTTAAAGAAGGAGTTTTTGAATCTATTTGCATCGAACTTCAACTTAATAGCAAAAACAAAATCTTAATAGGAGTCATATATCGTCCGCCAAACAACAAAATAACAGATTTTGAAGAAATATTTGAAGATTATTTATTGCGTATCAACAGAGAAAATAAGCTATGCTATTTGATGGGCGACTTCAATATTGATGCTTTAAAAATTGGCCAAAACGATGTATCTGATAGCTTTGTAAATCAACTACTTTCCAGCTCCTTTCATCCACTAATAACAAGACCAACAAGAATAACCCAAAGTAGTGCGACACTCATTGACAACATACTAACAAACAAATTTGAGCATAACAATGTGAACGGAGTTTTATTTACTGACCTGTCCGATCACTTACCAGTCTTTACTATTGAGAAAAACAGCAAATGTTATAAAAAGAAAACTGCAATTATGTCAAGAAATACAAAAGATGAAAATATTGACAGACTGATTGCCAAACTAGGAAAGATAACGTGGGAAGAATTACATCACAGCTGGGATCCAAATATATGTTATGATATATTTTATGACAAATTATATAAAATGTACGATGAGTGTATTCCAAAGAAGAAAATAAGTAACAAGCAATTAAAGCTACAAAAAAAACCCTTGGCTGACTAAAGGAATTAAAAAATCACTAGCAATTAAACATCACCTAATAACGTATTAATATATAAGAAGAATCGAAACAAACTTCATCATTTAATAAGAATTGCTAAGAAAAATTATTACAAAGACACATTTACAGAGGCTCATAAAAATGTTAAACAAACCTGGAACTTAATCAATGAAGTAATCAACAAAACTGAGAAAATCAAGATTCGACTTACCGAAATCATTTAACCAAGAAGGTATTGAAATATCGGACCCAGCCAAAATAGCAGGAAATTTCAATGAATATTTTGTTAATGTTGGTCCAAATCTAGCTAAAACCATAAAGCAACCGGCTACCTCTTTTAAGTCATATTTATCAAGAAACCATGATGAAAGTTTTTTCATATTACCAGTTACAGAAGAGGAAGTTGAGAGAGAATTACTTAAAATAGATCCAAATAAAAGTACAGGAATTGATGATTTAAATCCAAAAGTAATTCGCCGAATAGCACCACTTATTAAATATCCCTTACCAATAATAATCAACAAATCATTATCAATGGGAATTGTTCCTAAAAGTCTCAAATGCTCCCTCGTTAGTCCAGTTTACAAAAGTGAAGACAAAATGTTAGTTACAAATTATGGGCCTGTTTCTGTTCTTCCATGCTTCTCAAAAATATTTGAAAAACTAATGTTTAAACGATTGATTAGCTTCATTGAGAAACATAAAATACTATATCAAGATCAGTATGGATTTCGAAAAAATCATTCTACTGAAATGGCCATTATTAATCTTACAACAAAAATCACAGAAGCGATTGAAAATAAGAAATTTACAATTGGTATATTTCTTGATTTATCAAAAGCCTTTGACACAGTTGATCATTCAATACTTATCAATAAGCTGGAATACTATGGAATCAGAGGAATTGCATTAGAGTGGTTTAAAAGTTACTTATCAGATAGAAGTCAAATTGTTAAATTTCATGAACACCGTTCAAATATGGAAACCATTACACCAAGTACCATTACCTCAAGGATCTGTTTTAGGGCCTTTGTTATTCCTGTTATATGCTAATGACATACATAGAAGCTCAAATATACTGTCGTTTATACTTTTTGCAGATGATACCAACATTTTCAACTCACATTCTGATATTAGTACAATAACCAATACCACAAATGAAGAGCTAAAAAAAGTTGTTGAATGGTTAAGAGCCAATAAACTTTCTCTTAATCTTAAAAAAACGCAGTTTATTATTTTTAAAGCAAAGAACAAGAAAACTAAACAGCTCGTAAAAGTAAAAATCGATGGTACAGATGTAAGACAGGTTGAGTCAACGAAGTTCTTAGGTATCCATATAGATGCTAACCTTAACTGGAATCAGCACATAAGGCATGTATGTAACCGAAAATCTCAAAAACTACTGGATTACTCTGTAAGGCTAGGCATTATATACCTCTCAGAATTCTGCGAAGTCTTTATCATTCTTTGATATATCCATATCTTTATTATGGTAATAATAAAGGGAAGTATGGGGAAGTACTTACTCTACCAGATTAGAACCAATAAGGAAAATACAAAAGAAGATTATAAGAATAATAACGTTTTCAAAATACAGAGAGCATACCGCTCCTCTGTTCAAAAGGTTATCTATCTTACCACTAGACGATATAAATATAGAGGTATCAACTTTGTTTATGTTCCGTTTCTTTAATAACATGCTACCAGAATCATTTAATGATTACTTTACACTAAATAAAGAAATTCATCAATATAATACAAGGACATCAGCAAGCATTCATAGAAGTTATGCTAGAACTAATTATACCAAACACCTGGTAAAGTTTAGAGGAATTGATATCTGGAATAATTTACCAGAGTCACTGAAGGAAATTAAGACCTTTCACTCATTTAAGAAAAAAGTGAGAGACTTCATATACTTCTTATAGATTGCACTAGCCTGATTCTCAGATGGTGCGAGTCGCTCGCTCTCAGTCTCTCTGAGTGAGTGACTCGGACCGTCTGAGAATCAGGCTAAGATTGCACAGGAAAAACTCATCATTTATGTTGTCTGTTCTGTAGAGTGATTCTTAATGGGACCAAATTTCTGAATAGATGGGTCGAGGATTACATTCTGTCATTTCGCATTCATGTTATTCTAAAGTCGTGCATTCTCGCGGCGTTCGTCGCTCGCTTTCGCGAGTTCGTCGCTAAAAGAAGTCGACTTGTGGCAAGTCTAGGCGAGACGTAATGGAATAAACGCACTAAAACTTTTTGATAAATGTAGGAAAATGAATATATATTTATCAAAAAGTTTTAGTGCGTTTATTCGATTACAGTATGCTCATTCTCGTTCCCAGAGCCTTTGTTTCTTTTAGTCACGTGATCGGTGAAACAGAGGCTCTGGGAACACTAACTACCGGATGTCGAGAAAACCACGACATCCGGTAGTGCATGCCCACTGTGTTTATGTTAAACTGCGCGTGCTCAGTAATAGGAATGGGAAAGGCTGGGGACGACTTTTCTTATGGAGAGTTTATGGAAAGAAGCAATCTCGCCGTCCTCGTTATCCTTGTCCAGCGGCGGAACGGACAACAAGGACCTCTGGGGGAAAGCAATTCGCCATGACATGCGCAGTCAAACCGGAAGTCTAAATCACGACATTTAAAATAAACCGCGTAGCTCTGGGGACGAACGAAATGCAACAGCGCCAGGGGACATGCATAGCATTGGATGTTGCTCGGTTTTTTTCGCGCGCAAGTAACAACCAATCAGAGACACTACACGCATCTCTGTAGAGCTGCGTCATCA